TTTGAAAGGGCTCGCCGAGGACCCCCTGGACCACACGGGGTCGGGAGGGGTGCTGTACCCACGCTGGGGGCGAGGAACCCGAGGCTGAGCGACTGCTGTCCCACGCGAGCAGCTGCAAGTCTCCAGACTTCTCGCCTGAGGATGCCCACTCATTTACCCACCTGAGGGGCACCATCTGCCCTGCCCCTAATGTCCTAGGACCTCCCTAAAAAGATACAGGAGAACCACCAGCCAGAAAGGAGGTGCGGAGGGCACACCCAGGACTCACACTAACCAGAGGGAAGCAAGAAGACAGGGAAGCCGAGCACTGGCCCCCAGAGTCCACGGGCAGGCTGGGCGTAGGAGAGACGAGGTCACAACCTCCTACAGGGAAGACCTCGGGGAGGGCACACTGCCTGGTCCCCTACTGCTCCTTTCTCTCAGTACACCTACCGTGTGCCAGGCTCTCGCAAAGTAAGACAGCACTTGAAGGGCAGTCCATCTAGCGAGGCTGTCCCTCAGCCCCACTGCCCGCTGTCGCGGTTCATCGGCTCCCCTTGGGGCACAGAGCACACTCCGCGGGAAACACTGGGCTTTGCCTCCTATCTTTCCTCTCTCCTAGACTGTGAACTACATGAAGGCAGAGACCGTCTGCTGGGTCCTCAGAGCCTGGCACCGTGCCTGCCTACAGAGTAAGATCCAATGCACTTTTATAAATAACAGCTTTATGGAGATACTATCTACACACTATGAAATACCCTTCTAAAGGCTACCTTTCAGTGATTCTCAGTGTATTAACAGAGCTGTGCAACCATTACCACTATCTAATTCCACAGCATCTTCATCAGCCTAGAAAGAGACTCCGTACCTATGAGCAGGAGCAACCCGTTCTCCCTCCAGGCTCGGGCAGCGCCCAATCTACCACCCTCCTCTATGGACCTTCCGACCCTGAACACCCCACATCAACAGAACCGTCCACTATGTGGTCTCCTGTGCCCGGCTCCTTCTATCCAGGTTCCCCCACGCTGCAGCACACATCAGCGCTTCACTCTGTCTGACTGTGGGATAATATTCTGCAGTCTGGTTATACAGACACAGAAACCCCGAAGAAAGCTACTTAACATTTAGTTCATTCTAGGGAGACAATTGAATGAAAAAGGAAGACAGTTTGAGGAATACACGAGACAGCCCAACGAGGGCACCCCACCTCTGGGTGTGCCGTCAGCCCCCACCCTCCACCCCGCGTCCAGGCTGATTTAGTCACACACACCTTAAACTGATTTAGTTGAAAAAATATGAGCAGATCCCAGCACCACTGCAGCTGACTTTGATGGGTCAGAGCTTTATTTGACAGCCTTTCTGTCTGTGACAGGAAGTTTGGAAACATGCTTAATCCTTAAAACCAAAACATACACACAAACAAAAGTATGCCAGGCATCCCCTAGGAGAGGGACCTAAGGAGATAGAACCTGCTGAGCACACGGGCGGGCCGGGAGCAAGGAATGGCTTCTCTTCCTGAGCTTGTTCAGGGCACGGAGCATCCTGCAGCCTGCAGGCTTCAGAGGAGTCCTGTAAGGGTCCCCAAACTTCTCTCTTGTCCCTTTTCCCTTCTCATAAAAGAAGGCAGCCATACTCCTTTCTGCACAGACTCTTTGCAAGGAGTGAACAAAGGCTAGGCCCGAGCAAGGCCCCTTGCAAGCTGCAGGTAATTAAAATGGCCTGTAAATGCCCCAACAGAAAGCACTTCAAAGAGACAGTAATTCTAGCAATGGCCAGTCAGGACTGTGCGGTGTAAAAATTATGAGTTTTCCCAACAGGGAGCTCTGTGTGAAAAGGACAGGGGTTGAGTGAAAAAGGAGGGTGAGCCACCCAGAGGAGGCTTACAACTGGTGTCCACACCCCGTGTGTGAGGGGCTGTGTGTGTGTGGCACACACGTGGGCAAGAGAAAAGGGGAATGGTATACATGTGTGTGAGAGTGCACATTCATCAATGTGGGACACTCTGCGCATGTGGGCATGGAGATAAAAGGAAAAATAAAATAAAAGCAATAAATACGCATCCTCTACCCCGCTGGGTCTCCCTGTCTCAGGGAGAAGTACCCAGAAGCGAACGCTCCCCAGGTTCCTAACTCGTACGCCTGCCAGGCAGAGCCGGCATGCAAGAAGCGCATAATACCAGCCACCCTGGGCCCAGCACCAGCCGAGGCACAGCCAGGCCTCCTTATAGGCATGTCCTTTCCGGCGCAGAGTCATGCTTACCAATAATGCACCGCATGCTATGCTATCTTAAAATAGAGGATGGAGAGAAGAGACAGATTCGTAACCTTGACTCTAACCACATTCATTAAATCCTCACGCTACGTGCCTGCGTCCAGGTGCTGGGCACCTGGAGCTGATGTGTGTGAGCACAGCCTCTAGCCTCAGGCCCCCTGGCCTCACCCTTCCCACACACGACCCAGGACATGCAGACTGACGCATCGGCGATCACCCAGCCACCACATCATGCATCTTTTCAAAGAGGCCCTGCATTACTTTTTTCTGTTTTTCTTTATCTTCCCTGTTTTTCTGTTTTTCTTTATCTTAATCCTTAAAACCAAACAGCCACAAAGGGACATTTTGCCAAGCAGGAGGGCTCGTAATCATGCCTAGGGAGCTACCTGTGGTTGCTGCACCCACAAAGCTGGTCCATTTTACCCCCACTTCTGCATGTGCCTGTGGTGGCACTAGAGGCCCTGGGGCCGCATCTGCCTGCTCGTCTGCCTCTCAACTGGATGGAAAACTGCCTAAAGACGGAGCTTCGCCTCACTTCTCTGTACTCTCAAGCCTGGCAGAATGGCAGAGGCGTGGCATTTGTGGGAGCTCAGGACATGGTTTGGACGAATGGGTGGGTGCGTGCATCTTGGCCATACTGTGGGTGGGAAGTCAGTCTGGACCTGGACAGGGCATGGCAGCCTGGTACCCAACTGCCTGCCCCCCTCCATGGCCAGTGGAAGAATCCAGGCAGCCCATAGGCGCCCCCGGGTCTGCAGAGTGAAGGTGGAAGCACGCCCGTGCTCGCCAAGGCAGCAAAGAAGCCTACGCTGGCCCGTGGCTTTATTTCCCCATAAACAAAACCCGGCCCTGCCTCCCTCGCAGCCCCCCTCACTAGCTCCTCCCTGACACGGCTGGCTTCCAGCCCACACATAAAAATGTCCTTTACTATTTTTATTTAATGAGCTTTCATTTTCCTCCCCCTCTTTGTAAGTGAGAAAGCAAAGCCCACCTCCTGATGGGGCTGGGGGAGAGAAAGCAGGGTCCTAACGTCAGGGGAAGCTTTCTCCCCAACAACGAACGCTCCAGCCCACCCCAGCCTTCCGCAAGTCCGCGCGTCCCCCGTCCTCCCTTCTCGCCATTCCAAACAAGACGCGTGGATTTTGGACATTTGATTACTCTTAAGTATATATTTTCCCCTCAAACAGACTGAATACAATGGTTAGGAAATGTGACAGAAAACTATTCTGAGTCATTTATTGCCCTAATACCCACCTTCGCCCAACCGGCAGTTTTGACAACAGCAATAAATTCCAAATTTATGTCAACAGAGCATATGTTGAACACCTCATTTCTGAGCTAAAGCGGCAGGCTGCCCTATAAATCACCGTTCTGTTTGAAATGAAAGCAGATTACAGGCCTGTGTTATTGAGCAGTTAGAGCTATAGTCATATAAATCAGAACTTTTAACTCTAGGCAATCCGTTGTGCAATTAACTAAAGGGCACTTTGTCATTTCAAGGCTTGTGCACAGAATTGGCAGGGCAGAGCTACCGGGGAAGGGGTGGCAGGGGAAGAAAGTTTTTAGGCAACAGGAAGGTTCTTGACGGCCCTGTCCAGCACCCCACACCCCACACCCCACAATGCCTTCTCCCCCAGCACCGCCTCCACAGGATCCTGCCAGGACCACACACACACCGGCAAGCAGGTTCATCCTCAGCGTCCGCCACCCAGACGACATCGTGTCTGTCACCGAGTGTCGGTCACCAAGTCACCGCGGGAAGCCCAGGTGCCTTCTCGTTCGCAGGCCAACGTTTCCTGGGCACAAGCCACGTGCCTGACACGGTCTTCAGAGTGAGGGAACACAGTGCCAGACACGCGAAAGGCAATCATGTGGTGCCAACGGCAGTGTTAAGGTGCCGTCGGTAATAAAGAATTAGAAGAATTCTGTGCAAGGTATATCCAAGGCGTGTTCTGTGCACCGTCTTGTTCGATCCTCAGAACAACCCCGTGAGGCAGGAATGGCTTTTTTCTCTTTTGCTGAGGAGAAAATTTAGGATGGTGGGTTTCTATAAAGCCTCACTCTTCTCATCTGCCAAGTGGGGTAAGAGCACTGCTGCCTCCGAGGGCAGAGAAGCGCTATTGTGAGCGTCTAAAGACCTAGCACTGTGTTGAGGACAGAAGGTGTCAAATAAACATTAACTAGGGTCGGGCTGAAGAAGAGAGACAGACCCTTGTCCCCTGGCCGGCTCATTAACTCAGCTGGTGAGGAGACGCCAATCTCGAGAGGAGGATGTGGCGATGTGCCAAAATGTCAACAAATAGCCAACGTACAGGTGTGCAGAAGAGAAGCAAGTGTACGGGCGGTGTGGCCAGACGGCCTGTGGGTGTGACCGCAGGGAGCTGGTCCTTCAGGGACTCTGCACGCCCTGCAGCTGTGCTCACCCACGTCAGAGTTCAAAGCAGTGGAACAGTCTTAGATGAGGGCGGGGTCTCCACGAGAGGAGGGAACATGAGCCAAGACTCACCACCACAAGCCAGTCATGCTGGACAAGCCTTCGGGAGGTCGGCCCGGCTCATCCACACTGGTCGGGCAGAGAAGTGGGGGAAGTGGGCGGGGATAAGCTTGCAGGGGTCCCCCGGGGCGCCAACTGTGATTTCAGCTCGGCAGTCTTCAAGCAGCCACCGAAGTCTTTCCTGGGAACAGCGGAGCTGTCTGGGAGTGTGAGAGTCAGTGCACGGGGCCCCTGGGAGGAGAGGGACCGACAGAAGCGAACAGATTACACACTGGGAGCGAGGGTACGGCCAAAGGCACAGGTCAGCCTTCCAGAACAAAATGCCAACAGCACCCCTACCACGTGTCTGTAAAATATCTGTTCCCCAAGAAGGTACGAGAAGAGAGGGGGTGGGACAAACCACGTATCTCTATGCACCGCCCAGCACAGGTGCCGAGCTCTGTGGAGCACAGCTATCGTGCAGGGGACTCAGAAGCACGGCTGCTTCTGTCTGCGACCTGGCAACGGTGCCCTCTGATTAAGTCGTCCACGATCTACTTGCAAGAAGGCAGATGCCGTGAGAGTGTGCAGTGGTAGGCCTACGTCGTGTCCTTCTTTCCCTGGGGCACCCTAAGCTGGCTACCAACTCAGCATGCTTGGGGTGGGGGCAGCGGTATTCGGGTCCCCTTTCTCTCACACAAGCCCAGACAGGCTGGGAAGCAGCTCGGTATTTACCTGGCAGACTGAGACACAGCAAAGGCATAGGACAAGGGCCTGCCCACCTCAAGCTTACCACCCAGGCAGCAAGAAGACAATACATAAAACAGTATAAACCAGTTCTTATGTGCTCGCCTGTCAGGCCCTGACCACGACCGCCACACCCAGAGTCTGTGGAATCAAACTCTCCGGGCCTCCCTGGGGAGGTGTGTTCAGGCTGGACACAGCAGCCCCAGGAGATGGCAGGTGGGGAAGAGGAGAAGGACCTCAGAGGGCAAAGCAGAGTGACAGCGCCACAGCCGAGAGGGGGCAGCCAGCCCAGCGGCAGGCAAGATGGGCAGACGTGGGCACTGTGGAGTCACATGAAATGACTTAAGGCCATGAAGCTGATGGGCAGATGGTGTCATGGAAAAACGGGCACAGAAGGAGCCGTGGTGGGTCCCTGGCAGACAGGGAAGACAGGGCGTGGGGACCACAGTGGTGCAGGAGCAGAGGCCTGACACGCTGAGGAAGCCCTCCAGGCCTAGCCTTCCTACCAGGACATCTGGCCTTGAAGACAGGCCGGACAGCTGCCCTCTGACCTTCCCCACAGCCTCCCTTCCGGTGACAGGTGGATCCCTCACAGGAGTACCAGGGTGCCCTCCCACCACCCCCTGCTGCATCTGGTCACCTGCTAGGGTGCTCTGACTTGTTCTAGAGCTGGACGCCAGCAAGACACGAGCGTGCTGAGCAGAAATCGGCAGCTCCCCAAGAATCGCCTACTAGGCACATGTGAGTGAACGGAACACACCCACAACACCCCAACTCTCACCATCTGGCTGAACGGCTGGTCTCTGGAAAAAAGGGGGGAAAAAGGAAACCTCTCCGAGATAATTTGTTTAATATCTGAGAAGTGGGGAAGCGATAAAGTATGCGAGTCTTACTTAGAATTCTTCAGAACGACTATAGTAAAAGGAGGCTCCCAGCTTCCAAATAAAGCCGAAGCGATGGCAGTGAACACCCTGGCAGGGCTGGTGAGTGAAGGAGTCGTGAGAGAAGGAGGGAGGGAAGCGTGCCGTAAAAAGAATAACTGGGGCCAATGAGAAGTCGTGAGATGCCAGGGAAGTACAGGCAGCCCCCTTCCCCGTTAGGATAGAGGATCGGCCTGGCCAAGAAGCAATGGGGAACGCACAGATCCAAGCAGCAGCCTGGAAGGAGGGTCTCCGTCAGTCGGCAGAAGGGTGGTCTCCACACTCCAGCGACCCCTCAGTTCCTACGTGTCCATCTGCATCCCGCAATTTTCATCTTCTAAATCCTCACAAATTCACCTCTGGTGTCGCCTCTCTTGGGCAACAGAAAAGGTTAGGAGTGAGGCGATCGGAGACGAGCACAGGCACCCCTTGTTTATGCGCCTCGCACCTGTTGCGTTTTTACGAAAGGAAGGTTCAAGACTTCAGGGGAGGAAGTCACTGCGGGTGTGGCGGAAACAGAGGAAGAACTAGAATCGGAAGCGGAGCCTCAGGACAGGACTGAACCGCTGCATCTCAGGATGAAACCTGAACAGCGAGGAGCTGCTTCTCAGGGACGAGCAAAGAAAGGGGTTTCTCAAGGTGGAATCTGCTCCTGGTGAGGATACTGTGAGGATTGTTGCAATGTCGACGGAGAATTGAGAATATTCCATAAACTTAGTCAATAAAGCAGAGGCAGGTTTTGAGAGGATCGACCCTGATTTTGAAAGTTCGACTGGTGGTAAAATGCTATCAAAGAGCATCACATGCTACAGAGAAATCATTCATGAAAGGAAAAGTCAGTTGATGTAATAAACTTCATTGTCTTATTTTAAGAAATCACTGCAGCCTCCCTAACCTTCAACAGCCACCACCCTGATCGGTCAGCAGCCCTCAGCATCCAGGCCAGACCTGCACCGGCAAAAGGATTACAAGTTGCCAAAGCTCAGGTGATGGTCAGCATTTTTCAGCAATAAAGTCTTTTTAAATTACGGTATGAACGCTGTTATTTTCGACATAACGCTATTGCACACTTACCAGACTACAGTAGAGTGTAAACATAACTTTCGTGCACTGGGAAACCAAAAAGTTCATGTGGCTCGCTTTCCTGTGGTCTTTATTGCAGTGGCCAGGAATCAAACCCACCGTATACCCAAGGCACCCTGTACGCAGCCCCCCAAGGAGGGAGCGCAGGGCGGGAGCTCCACTCACTCAGGATCAACAACCAGTGTTCACTGGCTCCTGAATTCAAGGCACGGTGTTAGCCACTGCGGAAAGGTCCAAGGACACACACAGGCTGTACCTGAGAGGACTTAAAAACTTGTAGGGAACACAAGGCATATACGCACGTAAAAGATTAAAAACCAGTGCAAGGTAACGACAAAAGGCAAGAGGGACATGCAGGGCCAGACCCTGCATGAAGACTGCTGCAAGTTCTGAATGTGGGCTCCAAGCAACCAAGCAGAAAACAGCCCCTTCTAATCTTGTCCATCTGAGGCTTCTCACCCTCTGGGGATGCCATGACCACTTCTACGCCCCTATGCATCTCCTGGGCAGGCAACTTTTCTGCCCCCTCCCAGCTCCACTGCAAAAAAGCCTGTCAAGCCAGAAATACTAATGCGACCTGCTCTTCAGTCACATGGGCTGTTTTACTGTAAAATGGCAGCCCCTGGCGCCAAACCACCCATGACAGCTCCACCAGTTGCGTCCTGCTCCCCCATACCACCTGCTCTTCTTCCCAGCTTGGGAGCAGAGAACCAGGGTGGGCCTGTCCACAGTGCCCAGGTGCCTTTCATCCTGGTCCCTGACAAGCAATGGCGCAGACTCCACAAGCCACCCGGCACTGCCTCCCCAGGAGGCAGGAGGCGCTGCCCACCTGCGCGGGGCCCTCTCCACCACCCGCAGGCGCAGAGCGTGGGGCTCACCGCTCTCATCGCCAGACCAGGGCACCAGGCTCTGGGCTTCTCTGGGGAAGTGGAGAGAGTCCCTCCGCCTCTCGGAAAGCCCCCTGCAGAGGCGGACCCCTTACCTCGGACACCGATTTCTCCTTGGGATCCGTCCTGCTCTCTCTGCCCAAGGAGAAGGTTGTGGTCAACCTTATGAAAACTGGAAAAGAATGGGCAGGGAAGTCATCTCCCTTCCAGAAGAAACAACCAAGTTCACATGCTAATTGTCCCTCCAAAAGCCTCCAGGCCTCTCTCTACAGGCAAGCTGGAAGGCTCTGGAAGTGTTCCGGCCTGGACATGCTCAATCTAGTCACACAAATGCTCAGCTGCCATCAGAACAGCACGCCGTGTCGCTTGGTATACCCCAGGGAGCGTGTGGCCAGGCTCCTTCCCCTGTGAGGCCGAGAGACGGAACGCACGTCTTTCTCAGCACTCACCACTCCCCTGCTTTCCTACGATGCTCACGTCTTGGCGCACACAGGGCAGCACGGAGGGCAGGGCGCTGAGTGGGGAGCACGGCTTCGTTAGCAGGCAGCGGCTGTGACCTTAATCATGACAATGCAGTTTAGTTTCTCTGCTGGTAGAGAGGAGAGCCACAGACGTTAAATGGTAGATCACAGTTGGGCTCCTGAGCAATGTCCTCAAAGGTCACCCCTGCATGCAGGAAATAAGAGAAGACACAGATGCAGTGTCTGGTTCCATAATAGTTTAACCTGCTGAGAATCAGAGGGCTTAGGAGCCTGGGAGGTCCTTGGACCTTCCACCCATCCCAGAAGAAAAGTACTCAAGCGCAAGAGGCAGATCACCTAGAATACTGTTCGAGACTTCAAGGGAAAAGCCACGCAGAAAGTGGGGCGGCCACGCAGATGTGGGGGACGGGAGAACAGGATAGGAAGAGTGTAGGTCATGTAAGCAAAGAGAGCTCAGTCATCAGCCCCTGAAGGGGTTGCACGTACCTTGACCTTCACGGGAGCTGATGCCCTTCAGTTAAATCTACACTTGAACCTTAAAAGCAAGACTGAAACACCCAGGACAGAGTCGTCCTCATTAGACATTATTCTCAGGTTCCGTGAGAGGGAGCAAAGCTTCACAGACCAAACCCTTCGGCAGACCAAACCTGGATCAGTTTCATCCAGTCTTGTGGGGAACGCTGGGAAGCTGATCTCTGTCATCACCGCCATGATTCACCCCCAGCCCCACGCTGACAATCCTAGAAGGCAGGATCCTTAGGGCACCCCAAACCCAGCAAGAGGAAAGCTCGGATGGTCACAGACTTTCAAGATCCATAGACCATTGAGCGCTCCAGGCCTTGTCTCCCCATGTGTAAACTGAGGATGCCCTGTGGGACTCCGACAGCCTGTGGGCAGATCTACGATCTGTGGGCTCACATGCCCCTCTCCCTCATGGAGCAAAGGCCCCGTCTCCACCGCCACTCTTGGTGGCCCTACAGAGAATACCCTCACCCTCCAAACAGTGATAAATAACCTTTGCCAAATACCCAGGCAGGACTTGGAAGGCTAACGCTATTTTTAGCCCTTCCTGGGAGAAGGTACTTATTTTTAAACAGGTTGTTCACACACAAGAAGACAAGTTAAGAGGAGGCCCTGAGCCAGGGAAGGCGGGGGTGACACCAGAATCCCAAACGCTGCTCACGGGGTCCGAGCCTACAGCTCCCTCCCAGGGGGGAACTTCAACTGAATTCCACGCAGCCCTCTTCCCTGGCTTCGTCAGAGCCCCACCACACGGTTCAGCACCCGCAGAGTGAATTCACAGGCCTGCAGAGAGAGGGCCCATCCCACAGGAGGGGACTGAGGTACAGAGAAGGGAAGGGCCACTCTCCTTCGAGTTGTAGGAGAAGCTGGGTGCTTAAGAGCCAGTCCGGCCTGGCTTCCTGGCAGGGGTGGGGAATAAAAAGGCCAAGCGGTGCTGCCAGGGCTCGAGGGCAGGAAGAGGAGGGGCTTGGGCTCCCGGCCCCCAAGACCAGCCAGCAGGTTCCCTCTGCCTGGCTGTATTAGCTTCCTTCACTGCTGTGACAAACCACCACAAACCGAGCAGCTCACAACAACACACACATCGCCTCCCAGCACTATAGACAAGGGGTCCACAGCGGCTCTCCCTGGCTCGTGGCAAGGTGCTGGCGGGCCTGCGTTCCTTCTGGTGGCTCGTGGGCTGGGCCTGTCCCCTTACCTTTCTCGGCTTCCCACCCCTCGGCCCGCGGCCCCTCGCCCCATCTCCAGAGCCCGCAGCAGGGGCGGGGTCCTTGCAGGCTTCCCCCTCCCTCCCACCCCTGCTGGTTTCTCTGCCTCCCTTTTCCACATTTGAAGACCTTTGTGATTACAATGATTACACCAGGCCCACCTGGATATCCGGAATGAACTACCTAAAAGTCATCTGATTAGCAACCTTAATTCCCCTTTGCCAGGAATGCCACCCATCAACTCGGAGATCACGGGGGCCCCCAGCTGTAGTAAATACCCTAAACCAAGTGGTTATTCCAGGTATAAAATGCGACGTGCTCGATTTCTCTGACAGCTACTGGCTGCTCCCATTCCCGCAGTGAGGAGACACAGGCTCTGGGATTAGGATGAGGACATGGGTGGGGGCCACTATTCTGCCTACCACACTCACTAGCCGTCCACCTTGAGGGCTCATCTGCCTCACATCCCGAGGCTGCCCACACATCCCATCCCTGCAGCCGGAGGGAGCAGAGCGCCCTGTGAGTCACAGGAATGCACAGCTCATCCGGCACGATCCCCCAACAGCAGCGACCTCCGCGGGCACACAGGTGCACACGTGCAAAGACACCAAATGAGACACTCCATTCTGGTGGCTTATCTGATCCTAGGACCAATAATCCCATGTGTGGATTATCCAAGTCCCAGAACCAGGGAACTGCTGAATCTTAGCTTTGCAATGAATTCAAAAGGTATTTATTTAGAAGTACAAGGCAGTGTCCATTATCTTGTAGAAAAGGGCACTTTGTATAAGTTCCCCTCTTTATTCTCTCTCTGGTTACATTTCTTGTCTCCAATTTCGTTGTTTACTTCCCAGATGGGGAGGGCAAGGTAAAATATGAGTAAGGGTCAGTAATGAGGCTTTTAGAACATCTGAAGATTCTCCATCCGTCTCGCTGTGCCTGAATGCCACCCACCAACTCACAGATCACGGGGCCCCCAGCTGTGGTAAATACCCTAAACCAAGTGGTCATTCCAGGTATAAAATGCGACGTGCTTGATTTCTCCAACAGCCACTGGATGCTCCCATTCCCATGTATTAAAAATAATACATTACCCTTTCCCTACCTTCACAACTGAAGAGGTAACTGAGCCTGTCAGCTCACACAGCCAAGGCCTCTCCCCCGACCTGCCTGGAGCTACACTGAGTTAGAGACTCAAAAGTGAGAAGGTGGGGAGGACGGAGGGAGGCTGGGCACAACGCCGCAGTGAGGAGACACGGCTGTTTGGCAGCTACATGACCAGAGTCGGGAGATCAACCCAAGGCCACCAGAGGCTTCCAAATCTCCTTTGCCCTGTTCCTACTCTGGTGCCAAGACAAACACCAGGGCGGAGCAGGAGGCGAATGCGTGGGGTTGCAGAGTCCCAGCAAACGAGGTGTGGGTCCCAGACTCAGCTTACGTCCAGCATTTTTCACAGACCCACCCTGGCTACGAAAAAGGGGCCTGAGCCAGGCGGAGGCACAGCCACCTCTCTGTGCTCCTGCGTGTCTCAGAAGCCACACTTCACACCTGCCATCCTCTCTGCTCTGAGGCTCTCTGAGCACCGGTCAGAAGACCCAGGCACTGAGCCCACACCCTGGGCGACCTCGGGCTCTGCCAGCCGTGGGGCCTCTGTGGAGAGCCATGCGGGTCACACCTGACACACCTGTTCCCTGACACCGTAACTCAGCCACATACCTGGTCTGTGGCGCCGCCGTCACAACAGGTGCCTGAGGACCACCAGGCCAGGCCAGGTGAACACGTGCGCTGGCAGGGCCCCCTGCTGCCCGGGAGCGATCGCCACAGACGCCGGCCTGCTGGGACACCCACTTCCTGCACGTCCAGTCCTGGGCCCAGCGGGCCAGGGCACCACCAGCAAGGCCCCATTTCCCTGCCATACACGTGGGACCACTGCGAGGCTCACGGTCAGAGGGCCTGGACAGAACTCATCAGCCCTGATGGCTGCTCCGGGCAAGGCCTTCGGCACAAAGCTCAGGCCTGCACGGGACCAGCCCCTTGGGCCCTGTGGGACCTCACACTCAGCTCCTGCTTTGTCAGTTCCGAGAGTGGGGTACACTCTGGGGGGCTTGGGCACCGTCCTGCAGTGGCTCCCTGGCACCCAGCAAAGCAGGCACGGTGGGACACACAGACGGAGACAGAGAAGCAGAGGGCATGCGGGGCTGAGCAGCACGCGGGCCAGGAGGGCTGCGGCGGGCCTGCGAGCAGGCGCCTCCCGTCGAGGGCACTCATGACGACTGCAAACTGCACCCCGCGTGTTCTGTAAGTGGCCCTATTCCCCAAGAGAAGTGGGCACCTTGGCAAGGCGGGGCAGCAGGGGGTCTGCAAAGAAAGGAGCAGATAGATGGGGGCGGCTTTGGTTTTGGAGCTATCTGGAAAGTTACCAGCCCTGCGAGGAGCTGCGCTATAAAAAGAGTCAGACACTAAGTATTTCCTTTCCCATAAAATATTCATCGCCGCATGAAAGAGGCAAGAAGCATTTCTGACTTTGAGCTGCAGGGGTAACAGAGTTTTATAGGAACCTTCTGACTGTATTTATGCGGGGCTATAAATACACTTCCATCTAAGAGGAGGAAGGGGGACACATATAAACCCCTCAGAGCCTGCACTGTACCGAGGAAGACCCCGGCCCACCCCCGACTCCATCTGTCATTCAGCCAGCAGCCAGCGGACGGAACGGCCTGCAAGACCAGGTCTGAAGGGAGTGCTTGCCGAGCGGCCCGGCCCCTCGCCCAGGCGACCCTCCGAACCGGGTGCGCAAACAGTACCACTCTTGCTGAACGGTGGAACGACGTCCACAGTGCCTGATATTTACTTGGCTCTTTGCAATTTACAGAGTGCTCCCCACCCTAGGTCCTGAACGCAAGCCTGCACGGTGGGGCAGAGTGGGCGCGTTCCTCCCTAGGAGGCTCAGGGAGGTTAGGCGACTTGTCCGAGGCCACACAGCCGGAAGGCAGCAGATCCAGGCAGAGACCCCACCTAGGCTCCGCGGCCAGTCCCCCCTCCCTGCAGCTGCTCCTGCTGATAAACACGGCTAAGGCACAACTCACTCACCTCCAACTTGAGGAATGAACGAAACTTCAGCCACCCGACTCCGCCCTCTGTGACTGATGTGGAACGGGCTCAGCCTGGCAAAGGCTATTATTTCCAGTTTAGTTCCATGGAATTCTATGAACCTTCCTGGAAGGGGTTACCAGGGATTGGTAGTTGGCACGTTAAACCAAGTGTTGAACATTCTCTAACTACTCTCATGGATTCACCGGACACACAGATACACAGACTTCATTTAATTACTCTTTTACAACCTTCTAGACAGAAGGAGTGTGGGTTATTATCATGATGCATAATAATTCCAGAAGAGTTGACACTGAAGTTTCAGTTCAGATTAAAATCACAGTAAAACTTTATTCTAATAAAGGAGGCCCTTCAGTCTTCCTAACTCCCCCAAATAAGTTAAATTCTGCTTAAAAGGCTCTTCTAGCGTGTGAATTCTTTGACTTCCAACGATGTCTTCAAAGAAAGTCCGAAGATGCACAGTATGCCAAATCTCCCCATTTGCCCTTGGTACCCCCATCACACCAGAACGAGATCGAGTCCACCCAAGGCTCACTTGGGTCCATTCAGAAACAACGGACAAAACCATGTTCCAGAAGCACTTTTATGTGTATCTTGGCCAGACTGTCCCCAGCGTGTAGTAAGCAGAATAAATTCATGTCATCAGGAAATTCTGCTACAAGTCTGAGAATTTACTTTGGATTGCAAAGAAATAGAAGGGTCAAGCAGGCACCCCTCTGGGGTTACTTATTCTGCATAGTTCGGTGTAGAGCTAGTGTGGCCCTCATGGCTTCTAATGGTCCCAAACAATTCAGTGAACCTGGCCACCTGGAGACAGGCCTGCCTATCTGCAAACTGGCAGGCTTCCCTATTCATTCTTATTCATTCTGTGAATCAATAAATGTCAATAAATCTGAAGCTCCCATTATTCACAACACTGCCAAGCACCTGATTAATATGAAAACAAGACCAGTGAAAGCAAAGTTATTTTGTGAGCAGGAATTTAGTGAAACTTTTTGGACAAAAGATATTAAAGATGTGTCCTAAACTGGGGTTTCTCAAACTTAGCACTATTGACATTTTAGACCAAGTAATTACTTGTGTGG